TTCAACATTAAATTTGAATTTCTTATACACAGATATAAAAATTAATATAAAAGAAATGAAAAGAATTGTAACATTAATAATATATTGGATCGAAGGAATAAATCTTTCATTTTCGCTTATTTCCTGTAAGTCTGGAATTCATTTTGAGGAAACACGATACATCTTGGTAAATTGAAATTGAATGTTGCACTTTTTGTTCACGTACAAATAGATACAAACTGGAAATTTATTTTTTTGTTCTAAAAAAAAAGTTTTATAACCAATTAAAAGTTCGTGGTTTGAAGTTGAATATTATATTTTTCATTTGTACGAAAGTATTTCGAATATTTTTCAATTGAAATACTAGAGAAAAAAAAAAATTGGTATTCGAGATATTTTTTGATACTTCGATGCAGTATTATTTTTATTTATATTGTCCAAGTTATGTTAAAAGATTGGGCGTGCAAAATATTGAAGTCAATACGATTCTTAAATAAAATTTCCCCTATTTTCTTATTAAGCATTTGCTTGAAATTTATATATTTCATCGGTCCACAAATTATATTTTTAAGACACAGAATTAAAGGATAATATAACAAACTATTCTTCCGTCGAAAAGACAGCGAAATGAAAGCATGGTCAAATTCACAGAATCACGGAGCATCCAATTTCAATACTCGTAAAAATCGACAGAAATCGAACTGCATAAAACATCGGAATCGATTCGGAATAGTTCAATTCTCGATAAATCTGAGATCATAGAAACAAATGATATTCTAATAATATTTTTTCGCGTCAATGTGCACAAATATATGCGACACCTCCGACAAATTGCACAACTGTGCAGTTGCTCGGATTCGACCGAGAGGGGGGCCAACCGTTATTTTGCTCCCCAGTTACAAACAGATATAACACTGGAAAACGCAATATGGAATCTTGTTTACGTTCCACTGCGCCGTCATCCCTCCACGGTTAATAAATTTCAAAGATTCGCATCCGTGCGTTTCAGCGCCGTGGCGAACACTCGATTCGCGATACATCATCCGGCGAAATGCTTTGCAAAATGCTCGTTCGATCCCGGGCTGGAAGGTGAACGAATTGGAAAGTAACACAAGTTAACTGGATGAGCACCGATTTCGTGCTCGCCTGCTTCCTCATCGATATTTCAGGTGGCGTCGCGCGGTGTCTCCTCGACGGAAGAAGTCGTCGACGAAAGAGTAGTAAATTCTATTGCTAACGTCGCGTGCAGCTGCTGCTGTACCTGGTTTTTCCGTTGCATAATAGAACAACGCGGCCAAGTTTCTGGCTTTGACGCGGTTCGTCCCCGGCCGCTCTTTGGGGATCGCCCTCGTTCCGTGCGACAATTTGCGATTCTCATGGTGGCTCCATGGTTTTTGGGACCGGTGGCGGAATAAACGAGACCATTGTCGCGGACAAATGTGCGGATGTGGCGTTATCGATGCGTGTTTGGTCGCGTTTCTGCGTCCAAGGTGTGTTCACCGCATGTGAAACAAGTTTGGGTATGGTTCGACACCGAAAGTGGTGGAAACGGAGGGTGTAGGTTGGATATTTTAGTATTATGTTAAGTTACTTAGTGATTATTCGATTATTTGTTCGAGCAATAAATGGTGGTTGCGTTGGATATTGTTTTGTAAATGGTAACTGTTTGAATTAATTCAATGTGAAATATTTCTTTAGGAATTTGTTCATAAAATGTGACTTCACAAATGCATGGGATTGTACTAAAAAATTTGAAAAAATTAATTTGAGAAGAAATAATGATATAGAATTAATTTTAATAAAGGAATAATTATATTCTATGTGAATTAATTATATGTATTTTTATATTTTGTAATTTAATAAATTTTTTAATGCTAAAGATTTGTCATTTAAATATTGTAATTTGATATTCATGATATGTAATGTTCATATATGATTTGGTGTATTAAAAAAAATTTCTTCTACTTCTCTTATTTAGATGTTAATAAACAAGATATAATATTATATAGTACAAATGATATTATTTTATATTTATTTATTTTAATTATTTTAATATTTTATAAAAAATATAATAAATAGAAGCTATTATATATAATTATAATATATATAATATATCATGTATAAAAGATATTATATTATATTTTTAAATTTCGACAAAAATCAAATGGAAAATAATTATAATAATTTATTAGAATTTTACAATTAATAATTATATTTTAAAAATTATATATATTAAATTTTTAAACATATATTTGATCTCTATATTGATATATTGACTAAAGAAAAAAAATCTTTAAAGATATAAATATATAATATTTTATTTAAATATTGATAAATTTACAATTTTTTAAGATTTTTTAACATATATTTGCTATATCTATTATTTCTTAAACTTATAATATCATATATTCATGTTATAAACACTTAATAACATTGAATACGTTCTACCCGGTAAAATTAGTGGAAGGGGAATCTGTTATCCCCACTACGAAACTCGCGATCTTCATTAGTTATTGGGACAGTGAACTAGTAGGACGTATTATTACGCCGCTTTAAAATCCAGGTACGTTTATTTATTATTTTTTAACTTCTTTTAGACATTATCATTATTCGTATTACGTTTATTTGTATATTATCAATATTGTCTTCCCATATTCATAAGATTTTAACTTTAAATTTATTCAATATTGCGAATAATTTATTCTAATAAGTGCAGAATACAAATTGTAATCTATATCAAATTATTGTGATATATTATATATATCTGAATGCAATATTGTATTAATTCGTTATTATAAAATACGTCATTTGAATTTATTTGTTTTAAATTTGTACATTTACATTGATGCAAATGTAATCATTTAAAATTCGAATAATAGCAAGCCCTAATTCACGCCATGACACTTGATGCTCAGTTGGATGAAATATTGCGCAGTAAAGACGCCATGACACCTGATCAGTTTGAATATATACATTAGAGGGCAGCATCATGTAAGTAAACTGCAATGACGCAGTAAGAAAATTCAGTTTGAAAAATTTCATAAGAAGTTAGTCGAATATTTTTTCGTATTCACGTAGAATTATCTTTTAGTGCAAATATAGTGTAGTGAGTGTGTTCAATATTATTTTCGTTATAATGAAGAATGTTTGGGAAAATTTCTGCAGTTCGAAAATGGAGAAACATTAATTATTTCTTGTAAGTATGATACGTATATCCTCAATATGTTACACATAACCTAATACATTCATTTATTAACAGCATAGCTACAGGATAAATCGAATGATTAGAGTTTATTATTTCATTTTGTTCGTTAATTCATAATCATAATTCATAATTGTTTAAATAATATATATGTATATATATGTATATATAATACACACACACACACACACACACACACACACACATATATATATATATATATATATATATTATTATATATATATATTATTATTTTG